TTTACTCCCTCTAATATTGGATGCATCAAATTTTTATTAATCTTTCGCTTCAGATGTTACAAGCATATATTATTTTTGCAGAAAAAGTGTAAGACGTAAAATGTTGAGTCATGATCAATAAAGCCACCATAACTTTTCATGATGTCCATATGATTCGAGCTACTTTCTTTTCACATAATAGCTTTAATCTTTCAACTTTTAGGTCACCCTTTAGAATAGCAATATTGTTTTCATTATCTTTCAGTCAAATCATTTGATAGGGAATTTCACTACAAATACTTGTATCGAAGAAAAATAATGGAGACAATTGAATTTTCTACGAATTGTAAAAGAAAATTGTAACCAGCAACAGATCGATGAATTATAAAAGAAACACTGTCATTCTCGATGAAAATTGATAGTAATATTCACAGAAATTTGAGACTTAGTCATTGTCCATATCGATTCAGAACATATGATTATTCTGAGAACTGCCTAAAATATGGTTGTCACTTACAATTAAATCTTACCGTTCGATTTCGATACTCGAGAACTTATTCAAATAAAAATCAATTTATCACTAAAGATGAAATAAAACATTGGACAATTATATAAATGAAGACTACCAGTGAATATGTTTAGCGTATTGCAATGAGATAGGTCATGATAGAGAGATAAAAAAGATCCGATAGAATAAATGAAAAGAAAACTATCCATAGTCTAATAAAAACTAACTGTAACTTGAAAATGACTAGAACTTTTCATGTACTAACTAATTTTAAGGAGTCAATATAAAAATGGTGAAAATTGATTGATTAGTCATCAAAAATGAGTGTAAACAGATATGTGTTTAAACTCGATTTGTATTAAACAATGATTAATGCGTTCTTGATGACTTATCAAATCATTTTTGGTGTATACATATTGAAGTGTGTAAATGCCTTTTTTGTCTTTACATTGTCTACCGTCTTGGTCATGCAGAATCTGATGATGTTGTTAGTATACTATTGCAAGAGAGAATCTATACCATCTTTTAGGTTACACAACGTTCCATGTTCGGAAGCAAGTTACGGTTCTCGGACTGAATTCATTTGTGATTAGAACTGAAATATTTGTTTCAAATGTCATCTTTACATAGCCAAGGTTCTATAGGTATCAAGTACAACAATAAAGCTCTTTGCATAGTTGAAGTCTAAAAAAAATTCATCCTGACATGTTAACTTGTTCATCTCAAAATTTATCGATAGCAAACAGATATTCAGAATCAGAAAGGAGTGTTCATTCCATTACATGTCTAACCTAAAAGCTTAGGTAAAGCATATGAAACTTTTGTTTGAAAATTATAATGCTAGAACTTCATCTTATTGACAAAGTTCACTGGAAAATTATGATTTGGTTGAACATGGAGTTCGATAATCAACAAAATTTCATCATGTTCATGACTTCTAAATCAAAAATATAATTATGATATTTAATTCATCAAAATGTTCATTTCTTCATTGTCATGTAATTTCTTTTAATTTTTTGCACTAATGAGATGATTAATTTATATTTACTCTCTATGAGACATTAGCGAAGCATAGTCATCTGTTCAACAAGCGCAAACTATACTTACATGAAATCGTATGAAATTTGATCATTATCGCAAACATAGTCACATATCATATTATATCTCATAAACATAATTTTATTGAATTGGCCTATTGATAATTGGAATGAAAATGAATTGAAATGGTTGAACATGATAGAAAAAGATCTATTCCATTCATTTCATGTCTGATTTCAATGAAGTTAAAGGAAAATTTTTTTTGACTTGGTTGTCTTATATGAAACCCTATATTCCGACTACACATTATACATTCTATACTATTTATATAGATCAGGTGACAGACAACGTAATTCCATCATAAATTTTAGGGAAAGATCGTTCAACTAGTAGATAGGTATAGATATCTACTTAAAATAAGGATTGGATTTCGACATTTACGAAAACAATCATATGTCGATAGATATTTTTATAAATACATGTTTCTCTTTAATGAGAAGAGTTTAGATTCAGTGTCATCTCTCATTAGAATCATTGAACGTCGAGTTTGAAATACATCTATATCATTGGTTTTGGGGAACTTACATATTTTTAAAGAAAATAGTGAGTGTACGTTTTAAGTCGAATTTTTACGGCTTCCCTTCCTTCCCTCCCTCCCTCCACCGTCATCTCCATTACAGACAACTTCTCATTACGGATCTTAGCAGTTGAGAATAACAGGCGCCAGACTTTCTATAGTTTTTTTTGCAAAATTGATGAAGTTATAATTTTGAAAGATAATCAACATCATTGTTTCCGAGTTACTTAACATATATATATATCTAATAGTGCATAAGATCTGCTATAGATATAATGGATATGTAAAATAGATGTATTTACCAATTAACTCAATGATTATAATAATAAGAATGTTAAATTTAAAAAAAACGAATTTAAAAAATGGATAATAAGGAATGAATAGTAACAATGCAAAATAAAAAATAGAGTGCCCGTAGAAAAAGAAAATTTCTGTTCGAAATGCAGAAATTAGAAACACTCTTACTCTGATGTTCGATTGTCCTACAAAATAACTATGGTCTACAAAAGATTTTTCACTTTACATATTTTGTATTAGTTTAATGAGGCTAGAGAATATATGTGAGTTTCACATTTCAGCCCCAAAGGGGTTACGCTAACAAGCTTCCTATATTATCAATATCAGTACAGAAAACTAAGAATAAAAATATATGTATAAGCATATAAGCTCAAATAAATCAAATATTATATCATTTTCTATATTATATACATAGAAAAATATTCCCAGACATATGGTAGAAAAAAATTTAATTTTTCATCTTGTGATAGTTTTAGAAAAATTTGGACATCGATATTTTTTCTGTCGAAATATTTTGTGAAGAAAAACGTCCTCTATTATGTGAAAATTTCCAAGATACAACTGTACCTTGACTAATCTATTATATAAAGCATTTGTGAAGTCAAAAATGATTTTACGATTACAATAATAGAAAACATTGACTTTCATAACACAACATTGTGTATTTTGTACATTTCTCCATTATAGAAACTATTGAATCAACAATTCTCAAATAAGTAAAAGAACATGATAGATCACACAGAATCAAATAAGAGCAGACAAGACTTGGATTATGTAATGCTATAACTTTCTTTTGTTATTGAATCCTATTTAGTCAGATAAAATCAGATCAGAGTACTTTACTCTGTTCTTATATATTTCTTAATCTCAGAACCTAATACTATGTCCAATGACATCTTTTATTCTGAATCTGACAAAAACTTTAAAGAAATGCATCTATTTTCACTGTCTCTTTTTTCTTTCCCGTCTACTTTACATCTCATGCATATCTCTTCTCTCTTGCATTCTTTTTGTGTATGGCGTCGCATCTAGTCTATTTTCAATATTCTTGTTCAGAATCTTCGAGAAGTTTATTATTGTTCCGAGATTTCTATTATATATATCCGCCCTTGTGCCTATGATATTCATTATGTTCAGAAGAATTCAGTGAAAACCCTTCCAGAATTGGTTTGTGATGAGCACTCTGTTCAAGGAATTTTTTGTATTTACTGTTCTAAATAAAGGAAAACTATAATTCTAATAATTACTTTACAAGACTAAAGAGGAAAACAATCTAATTTGGACAAGAATACCAGTCCATCAATCAAAATCATAGAAATATGAATACATATTATCGTATAATCTCCAAAAATTAGCTTGGGCATCCGAGAGTTAAATACACATAAGTTTTTGAATATAATTAAATCTACGATTGATATAAATTAGTAGCATATTAATTTATTGCTTTATAAACTTTCTCATAAAATTTAAAGATAGGCACCTCCATTCTGTCCTGTTCCTACTCCATTTTCACTCTGATATCAACCATTTCAAAACACTTACTCTTCAGATCCTCCTGAACATATCCATAACATGCGAGCTTACAGAAGACTTCTCAGAACAAGTATTACATAAGGATTGTAGCATGATCCTCATAGAAGATACTCATTACTTTTAGATTTTCAAAGCCCATAAAATCCATAGATCCCAATGTTTGTCACTGGAGAACTCCGTTCGGATTGGCATCCATCTTTTCAGTATTTCCAAAAGTAGAAGCCCTCTCAGATTAAATAGATTCGCATGGAATCCTCTCAACTTTGTTCAGCTTCGCCTGTATCCAAACCTTCTCATGATCTTAGTCAGAGTACATCACGTTTGTTCTTCGAACAGCTTCACATAACTTACCAAAAGCCTATGTAAATACTTAGGAGATTCTTCGGCAGATCTATATTCATCATACAGAAAATCATGTATCCTTAAGGTTTCCTAAAAAACATAGGGATTAGGTTTGATATTTTGTTATTCAACGATTCGATATTCTTCTCACAAGATGCAGATAGAATCTTCTCTGGTGTTCATACAAATGATCATTCTGCCAAAAAGATTCTGAATTCTTGCAATTCTGAAAAAAATCCTCAGATCCTTATGTTTTTCTATCAAAAACTTACACGGAATTAGTATTACTCTTTCTTGGGGAACCTCCTTACAGCAATCTCCAGATGTTATTTTTATGATCAAAAAGATCTTGGCAAGAACTAGAAGTAACATAGATGTAAGAATCGTTACTAAATCCTTTTTTTCTCATAAGAAACTAGGAAAAGACTTCTGAATTTTATCTATGGAATGAGCATTCTCAAAGACGAATGTCGTATTTGTAGCACGTACTCCCACGAGAGACGAGATCCCTTCGACAACGACGATTTCTTTTCTTTTTTGTACATTGTAGAAATTCTCAATATTCCAGCCGATGCCCGATGGAAACAGAATGGAGTCACTGTTGCTGGAGGCCATGGACTAGGCAATGCCACCAATCAACTCCACGGGCCTTGTGGTCTCTTCGTTGATGATGATCAAACGATAGTCATCGCTGACATCGGCAATAATCGTATCATCCAATGGAAGATGGGTGATACGAATGGACAAGCAGTAGCTGGTGGCAATGGCGAAGGAAATCGATTGGATCAATTGTATCTACCAACCGATGTGTTGATTGACAAAGAGGCGGATAGTCTCATTATTTGTGATGCAGCGAATCGACGAGTTGTACGATGGTCTCGTCGTAGTTGGACAACTCAAGGAGAAACTCTCATCAATAACATCGATCCTTATGGATTGGCCATGGATGATCAAAGATATCTCTACATCTCTGGTACCGACAAACATGAAGTAAGACGATATCAAATAGGAGACAAGAATGGAACTCTTGTAGCTGGTGGTAATGGCAAAGGTGATGGTCTCACTCAACTCAACGCTCCGACCTACCTCTTTGTCGATCAACAACAGACTGTCTACGTGTCAGACAAAAACAATCATCGTGTAATGAAATGGAATAAAGGTGCAAAAGAAGGAATTGTTGTCGCTGGAGGTCAAGGTCAAGGGAATGCTCTGACACAGTTGGATCGTCCTGAAGGACTGTTCGTCGATACATTGGGTACCATTTATGTAGCAGACTCGTCGAATCATCGAGTGATGCGTTGGCCTAAAGAAGCGAAACAGGGCACTGTTATTGTGGGTGGAAATGGTAAAGGAGGAGAAGCAAATCAGTTCAGCTGTCCGAATGGTTTGTCCTTCGATCGACAAGGCAATCTCTATGTCGTCGATAGTTGGAATTCTCGTGTTCAACGCTTTTCAACCGAATAGACTCATTACGATGGATTATTTTTTTGCGTTCCTTTCGTTTCAAATAAATTGCATTGAATTGATGAAATGAATAGCTTATTCTGTTCGCGCGCGCGCGACCAGGAACCATCCTGGTGGAGCCGTGGCGAGCGTAACGCTCATGCACGCACAGGACAGACTCATATCATTCATACCCTCCCCGCGAGAGATATGTCAATGAGTCTGAATAAGCCTGGTCGTGTGCCACGGACACCAAGACGATTTCTGGCCAGTGTTTAACGTCTAACCTGGGAAGACGATCTAACTAACACCCATAACTCTATCTCACTTATCTTAGAGTAGCCCTATCCTCACTCTCACTCATACCTTATCTATCTCACTAACTATAAAGAAATCTATACTTACAATTCTATTAATTGATGTTGAATGCAAGACGATGACTATCTAAAAAGAAAAATTAGTTTAATGTTATATAATGACAAAAAAAAAGAATGAGTTAACTTACCCCACTGTTACCTTGTCATAGTTGAAAATATTCATCGAACCTAAGAAAAAAGAAAAAAAAATAAATTAAAAAGATTATAGGAGGTCTTACTTCACCATCCTTATAATCGTTAAATAAAAAAAAGAAAAAAAATTAAAACTGATACCTACATTTTTTTTTATTGTATAGCTTCATCTTGATTTGATTAATTTTGTATCATCGAGGTCAATCTAAAATAGAAAAAGAAAAATGATTATTATTTGATTCAAAAATTTGAATGATTTTACATAGAAAATCATTCGTATATATACGGTGAAAAATCATTTTTTTTTCTCTCGTCGAAAATGAATTAAAAGCTCATTTCAAAAAGGTTAATTGATATACATATTTCATTGTGCATGTTGATCATTGATCGTCAATGATAACAACAACATGAACAATGATTTATGGACGAGAGAAAGACAAAAAAAAATATATATATATATATATGACACATAAAAACAAATGAATTAAATACCGATGGGACATATGAATGTTCAGTATATAAAACAAGTGAACGACGTGACATACTTTCAACAACGAGTCATTCAACAAATTTTGTTATGCCTATTTATTTATCAACAAATCAATTAAAATAACGTTAAATAAAACATGGTGTTGCATTGACTTTACCAACTTCATGATTAAGAGAAAAAAAAACCTAAATTAAATTCACTTTTTTTATCTTTATATACATTAATATTAATTTTCTCTATCTCGATCTCTTTCAAAGAAAAGGGAAGAATGCGTTGTATTTTGTTAATATTACCATAGAATTAATCAAACAGCAATAAAAAACAAAACGAAGAATTCATGATAACTTTAGTGTTTGTCGTCGTGATTGAAAACGATTTTGTGCTTATCATAATTCAATTTCGATTATTTTATCAAGTAATACTAAATGTTGTTCGATTTGTTTCAGCAGAAAATTGTTCAATTGTCTAAAGCGAAATAAAACAAACAAATAGATATAAATTTTAATATTGAATAAGGAATCCATACTTATTGAAAATCGGGTAAACTGAGTTTATTTTATTTCCGAGATAAAATGTTGACTATAGAATAAGATTGATAGTTGTCTCATCTTTGAACGTCGAAACGAGATTTTACATATATTATATCTTATTAGAATATTTTAATCGAAAAAAAATTTCTCAATGAAACTAAAAGATAATTCGATGTAAAATAGAAGATTTTATTTCAATGTAAATGGTTAATTGTTTAAAAAAGTAAAAGGTTATCTTTATAAATAGTTAACTGTTAGAAATAAAATATCTCTATTAGAAAATGATTTGTTTATATTATATTCGAATATTTGGTAAAGAATTGATTATCGAAGGATTCTCTGTTCTTTTTTGTCGTTTCATTATATAATTATTATATTGAAAAAAAAGAGTGCGTATGACATCATTTAATAGAATGAATTCTTTTATTGCGAGATTAGGAAATGAGAATTATTTATCTGATGACAATCGATTAAATTCCGAACAACGATCAAGACGATCAAGTCTTGCAGCGTATCCTTGGATGAGATTTTCATTTTTTAATTTAAATAAAAAGACAACAACTTATTCTATATAAATTTTTTTTCAATATATATATATATTTATTTTAGTTAACATTTTAAATAATCGATTTATATAATAAGATGTTTCTCTTGTTTTTGTTATTATAATTGTAATTCTATTGAATATGGTTATATTATAATATTAATAGATTTATTTATATTAGCGATTCAAAAATAAAATAATATATAGAATTGATATATTCTATTTAAAAATAAAAATAAATCTCATTTATTATCTTTGTTTATGTTTGGTTTATTTCGATTTAATAAAATAGTTTTTTAATATTGAAATGAGGGGAAAAAAACTGATAAATTATATTCGAAAGATATAATATATTCAAAGAATTATTTTCAATGGAAATCGAAATAACTCGATTGATTTAACATATATTACACGAACGGAAGATATTTATTGAAATAAATAAAACTCTTAAATAAATAATGAAATCTTATATTAATATAATAAATCATTTCAATGGTTAGACTAATATTGATAGAAATAAGATTTTATTCAATTTATTTATTTTAATTTAATTGAGTTAACCCTTTGCTGGTGTTTTTTTGTTAAAAATCTTTCTATAGTTTTATAATGAAATTATTTTATGTTATTATTGTCGAGATAAGATAATAATTATATATTATTGTTTTTCATTAAAAAAAATCTTTATTTAGAAATAAAATATCATTTGTTTTGAAGAGTATTCAAATTGTTAACAAGAATTTTTCAAATTTAACCAAACGTTTTATATTATTTAAATGGATTGAAAGAATGGTTTTCATATTCGTAGAATTAAAAAAAACAAACTTTCATATTAAATCTTTATTATTGTTTTTTCAAAGCTAATTTAAATAGTTAACTATCTCCTTGCATTTGGTCCAAAATTCGTTATTTATTATATAAATCGATTTCTAGATGAATCTATATTGATTATCTTATTATATATAAAGATTGACAACGAAAATTATTTATTATTTTAATAATCTATCCTAGAAACATTATATTGATCTGAACAATTTTGGCACAATTTATTTCTCTCTTCTGAACGATCGCTAATAAATGATTAATATTTCATTCGATTTGAACGTGTTTTGTCGAAAATCTGTTTTAACTGCTAGATAGAAACGTTCTATAAGA